GCTGTGTGTCACACTGGAGACACCATCCTTCCCGCACAGAGCAGCAGTGGAATTAAAGTCACCTGCCCGGCTGCCCTGGTGCTGGCAGCAGAACTCCTTACCTGCGAGGCCACCAGAGCCCTTACCAGAGCGGTATTCTGCCCCTTGTTCATGGTGAAGAAACACACCAACAGATGGACCATCTGCCAACTAGTGGAGAAACTACCCAACAGGAGAGAGAGAACGACCGTCTCTGTTCTTCACAGGGTCCTCACAGAGGCGTCAGCGGTGGTTCAGGCTTTCTCTCCATCTCACAAACGTTAGCCTATGTGAACAGAATGTGCTGTGGGCAGCACAGTGTAACAGTTATCGGCATGGACTGTGGAGCCAGCCTACACGGCCCTGCCACCTACTAGCTGAATACCCACACTTCTCCTCGTGAAACACATAGACACAGCACCGATCACAGCAGTAACAACTTTCTGGGCTGACACAATGACCAACCTGACCCCACAAAGTGCTTACAGAGGGCCTGGCTTCTGAAGCAAGGGCCACACACATTCCTGTTAAATAAAAAAAATTCAAATGCCAATGAAATCTCTGTAGTAAAAGAAATTAGGTTATTGCGCAAAATGCTGAGTAGAGGTTAGGGTGGTTCCTAAGCGGCAGTCTTTTAGACTTAGGAAATGGTCAACTGAACATTAACTACCTCTTATGGCTGTATGGTAATTCTCACATAAGTGATACTTCTCAGGTTTAGGATGTGGCCAACTAGATGCTGTAAGATGTTGCCATATGGAAAAACCAGTCTTGTCTGAGAATGCCACCTTCACGGCAGCCTATGCCTAGAGGCTCACAAGCGAACACTGGGCACCCACGGCCACCAGCCCACCTGCCTTCGTCCACTTTCCAGCTCAGACGGTATTTTCAACCCAGGTTAGTGCAAAACCAGTTTTGACGGCCACACTCAAACAGCAACGGCACTGTGAACTCTGGTGAGGAGGTGCCGGGATTCTGCTCCTGAGCCCAGCAGGCAGCTCCTCGGTCCCTCTGTGCTGCGCACGTCACACAACTTCAGGGGCCCAGGTTCAAGAGAAAATAAATGAGAGGGTGACGGGGCACAGGAACAGAGGAGCCAGCGACAGCATGCTTCAGTCTAATTCCCTCCAAACTTCCCACCACCCCCCGACACAACAGCCATTTCTAATCCAGTGCTCTATACTAACCTACATACCAAGTACTAGGGAAGCGGAACCAAGGTCCCTGGTGGCACAATGTTAAGGCCGGAAGTTCCTCAGGAGAAATCCATGGCAGCCTGGTGGTCCCATAAAGGATCACCGCCTTAGACAACACAGGTGCCAGTTCTCCTCTGTCCCGTCCTGCAGGACCTATGTGAGCTGGATCAATACTATGGGAATGGGCTGGCTGTGGTCTAAGTCGACATTCTAGTATTTTCTAGCCATCCTCATCAGGTTAGTCTTGAACACCCACTCTGGAGGAGTAATTCTTCTCTAACGATTCTAACTGATGGCTACAAGGAGAGAACGGGCTCAAAAAACCATGGGGAGCTGCTGTTCCCCAAGACAGAACGGGAAGGGGGCAGGTCCTGGGGCACCTTCCTCCACAACTCCCTTCCCCCACCATCTCCCTCTGCCCTTTCAGCTTGCTCTAGACACTTCTCAGGAGCCCCAAGACACATTATTTGACACCTTCTCGTAGAACACAGAAACACAGAGGCCAAGCCAGAGCGGTCAGGAAGCCACTCAATCCAGCGGCCACAATGAAGCAGCAGTGCCAAGCCCCAAGCTCAGCCCTGGCCCTCAACCCTCCTGACAGAGAGTGCCGATTCAGCAGTCCCCACGGTGCCTCTGCGGCTGTAAAACATCTGCCCCAGTCAAGTGGACTGTCCGCCTCTCCAGTGCCCATACACACACCATCTGAAAGGTATTTTTCCGTTCAAGTTTGATATGTGTGTTTCTCTTCTGTCCAAACCTGATTCTGCAGAGTGTTGGACAGAGACCTGTAAGTTACGTTCAAAAGAAAAGCAAATCATTAGGACAAACTCAAAATGAAGCTGTGATAGATTCTGACCTGGGAAAATCTGAAGGCTGTGGGAAGTGCCACTGAGGGCATTTTACCAGCCGGTGAGGGAGAGGGCAGAGCTTTCCTGGCGGATGCGAAGCCCTCACCTCTGGTCCCTGAGCCATTTCGGCCCCGGGCGACCCTCCACAGGCTTCTGAGTCTGAGATCTTTACCGGTAGGACTTCCCACTGTTCACTCTTGTAGCAGCTGCTGGATTCCAACACTGACCTTCTGATTAGCAGTTCAATGCATAGCATACTGCGCCACTAGAACTCCAGGTAGAGCCTGTATGAAGGCCTGGAGGCCTGAGACAGTTCTGTGTGGTCATACCGTGGTGCGCTGTGTACTGAGCCGCAGAATTGAAGCCAGCGGATCAGTGTGCATCCTGATGCTGAGATGGTGAAGCAGGCAGGAGACAGGAAAGCAGAAGGGGAGGCAGGGAGAGGTGACCGAGGGCTGCAACGTCGAGCAGGGCAGGCTGAGAGGGCCAAGCCAGGCATGTGGCTGCCTAACCAGAGTAACTCAAAAAAAGGAAGAGTGCTGAGGACGATGGGGAGGTTTCTAAGCAGGAGGAGAGCACAGCTCGTACGTCCCGGCCCAGCAGTAACGGGCTCTGCACAAACTGGAGGCTCGTGACCATCCTGTGTTGCCCGCCTACCAAGGCCTTCTTCTCACCAGCAGACCTTTCTGCTTCCAGGTCCCACTCTGGTAACTCTCAGACTCCTCGCTCTTTCCGTCATGTTCATGCACACAACAGGGCGATGGAAACACACCTCTTCAACCCACTGGAGAACAGAAAGATTCATGCCACGTGCTTTCCAGTGCTCTCTGCTTTACTGAAGTGCCCTAGACTGGAAAGTGTAAGGTCTGCTGTATACTAGACAAAGCCACTGGGGAGGAGCGAGAAAACGTGATCATTCACTCATTCTGTCATTTCCACCTCCCCCCCACAAAACAAACAGATAAAACACAGTCTAAGAACCTGCTATGTTCAGGCCTTCACAGATTGAAGGGTGTCACAGAGGTGACAAGCAGCGTGCCCAAGAAACCACATGAGGAGAAAGGACAGTGCTTTACCTTTACAAAGGAGCAAGGCAGGATGAGGAGACACCCCCTGGGTGGGGGGAGACACGGGCACCGAGCACGGAGGAGATAGGTGCCCAGGAGATCTGCAGACAACCAGCCCCATTTAGTTACATACGAGGCAGCTGAAAAGCAAGTCACAGGGCTGTTGCTATTAGGAGCTGTCATTTGGTAGGAACATGGAAATAATAACCGTGCGTATTAAAAATGCATGAACACAGAGTGCACTCCTCCTTTATCTAGGTACTTCCCACTCAACAGTGACATGTTCATCTCCAGAACTGTGCTTCAAGTTATTTCTTTCGGGTCAAACCCAAATTATGATTTTACTGTAACAAAAGAATGCATGGGGGGGGGGGACACAGAAAGAAAGCAACTGTAATTATGTACGTGACAGACGGCTTTACAAGTATTAAATTATTCTTTATATTAGAGGGGGTTTTATTACTTAATCAAAGATGAGAAAGAACTGAATAAAAATCACTGCAGTCCAAACACAGATTTAGAAATGGACACAACTATAAATATGTGACGAGAATAAAAAGATGCACGTCTGAGTTCTGATTATCCAATCTGTTTTGCTGCACGAGGAAAAGCCTGCACTCCTGGAACGGACGGGACACCACAGTCGTCTTCCTCATCCCTGATCTCAGAGGTGAAGAAATGGAACCCAAGGGGGTGACCTGATGGGGCTCCCATGAACAACAAGGCCTGGAGCTGAGGCCTGCCACTCGGAGCCCACACAAGCTGACAAGGGTGGCGGGCAAGCAGGCGTTCTCCTGTAGATGAACGGTCTGTAGGCCCCCAGCACTCACGGCAGTGACGTGAGCAATCCAGCAGTGACGTGGACAGATGAGCACGCCTCACACACCAGCTGAGTGGTGCAGCCGCGTGCATTGCTGTGTTGCTGTTGTTAGGTGCTGTCCAGTCACAGACGACTCATAGCGATCCTAGGAGCAAAAGACCTGAGCACTGTTCATTGAGAAAAGGCATTTCGGAAGTGGATGCCACTCCTGCTTCCAAGCTTGTTTTAATCGGGGAGCTCCACCAAACACTGTCCACCATGGGTAACCATTCTAGCATGTGACACATCAGTGTCACAGTGTTCAGTATCACAGCAACCACGAGTTACCTCTGTACAGCAATGCACAGACCAGTGCTATACCACCTAGAAGAATGTTTGACTAAACACAATTTTTTTTTTTAATTTTTTTTATATATATATATATATATATTTTTTTTATTAAGTTTTGTGTGCGTGTACCGTCAAATCAGATCTGACTGGTACAGGAGGAGATTGTCCCTCCTTCCCCAGCAGAGCATCTGGTGGATTTGAACCGTGCACCTCTGGGATTGTAGTTGCAGCTTCTTGCCACTAGGCCACCAGAGCTCCCTTGACTAAACACAATTTAAACCCGCAGGCCCTCGGGCCCTAATGGATTTTTAACTAGGAGGCTTTATTCCCTCCCCTCACTCCCCTTAACGAATCAACTTTCCACCCTGAACGCTCACCAGTCTCAGCCACCAAGCTACTGTAGAACCCAGCTCCCATGCACGGCTCTCACCAGGACAAAATCAAGCCACCAGCACAGTGCTTCCTTACTGTTTTCCTGCTGTTGTTTAATGGGTCTTTACTGAATAATGGCGCCAACCTGGATTCTGCAGCCCTACATGAAACAGTGCCCACTGTGGTGAAGCTGTAATGTTAACCAACCAATTTAAAACCATTACCGATGAGAAACATGTACTTGGAGACCGTGTGCCAACTAGGAAACCACACCGTTTTTCAGTCACGTGTACAGGACACTCTATATGGAATGTGAAACACGCAAAACCACATTGGTTTCTGGGGTTACCTTTCTTGATTGCTCAGTTTGGCATACATGGCTTTCACCAATTCCGGGCTCTTCAGAAAATGGTCCGTAATGACCAAAAACCTAAAGAAAAAGAGAGGAAAAGTTTGGTTACCAGAAACACAGCAGAAACAGACACGGGTTTATCTGTTTTACAGGCATAGCTTACACATGAAAGAATATCTTGGTGCTGGTTTGTTGATTTACTGTCATCTTAAATCTTTTAAGAGGCTCATGGATGATCCTTCCATTAAAAGCTGAAAGAAGGGGAGGGAAAACTCTCCAGATACTTTTCTCAATTTTTACCTCTGAAAAAGGACTGAACTAATTCAAATTGACTCAAGTGGAGGGAAGTACCTCTGATGGCTTTGATCTGAACTCAAAAAGGATAATATCTTTCATAGTTTAAACAGTAAAATGAAATCTAGTTGCAAGTTCAAGTATAAACAGAAAGCCTTTTAAATTGTTTTGGTCGATTTTTACCAGAGAAATGGACATGTCATCCTTTTCATTTAAATACACACCACCCCCAGGAACAGTGGCTGGGCCTCTGCAGAGATCTCGAGTTACACACAAACACCCTCACTGTCAATGTTCTCTTCTCAACCTCCAAAGCAACTTAGGGAAACCCCGAGGCAAAGATTATAGGCATATTTCTTCAAAGTACCACTGTGACAACTAAAAAGACTGCACAGTATTATTTATTAATTCTGAGTCACCTTTACCAGAGGGCACTGAAGGAAAGACAGAAGAGTCAAGAATACACACACAGCTTACCACAGGTTCTAGCTTCCAGTGTTCACAAAATACATTAAATATATTACAAGACACAGTTGACACAGGTGATTCAGCCAATTGTTAGCAACAAAAATACCATTTAAAAAAATGCCTCCCACTAGGACAAGACAGAGCACACTACACAACACCCTGTCCCTTCATAGAAAACCAACTGACTTTGTGCCAAATTTCTTTCTTCTACCAAGTATTATTGTTGTTGTTGTTATGTGCTGTCGAGTCACTTGCGACTCATAGCGACCCTATGTACAACAGCCCTAAACTCCGCTCTGTCCTGTGC